CTCTTCTGGGTTTGAGCAAATAAGACTCGCGAGATTAATCAAACATGATGTAATAATTTTAAACAAGGGTCCGTGTTGTCTCAAAAAAAATTCAAGAGCCTTTGTCAAATATTTTCTCGCTTCTTTGGTGTTCCCCAGGTAAGATTCTACAGCACCTAGGTTGTGATAGATCTCGCCAGTTTTTGGAAACGAAACGTCAGATGTCTCGATAGGATAAATTTTATCTGTATAATGTTGGTTCGTTGCGATTTTTAAAGCTAGAATTAGATAGTTTTTTGATAATAAATATTCTCCTTGTTGAATCAGAACAGACGTCAAATCAAAAATTTGTGTTTGCATTTTCTGTCTAATTCTCAGTGAACCTGGAACTTCAATAATGTCTGAAGAAAGGCTATTTGTATTGACATAAAATGCGCTCAAATGAGGAATTAAGGCACCTTCCCCAAGTACGCATTTCTTCGAGAGAAGTATCTTAAGGACGCGTAATGGTTCATCCGATTTAGAGCTTTCGCCTGTGACATTTGCAATGTACAGTTTAATGCTGTCGTGTACCACACGGTGCAATAATATTGAAACAACTTTTTGTTCATCTGAAGGAAGGATCAAAGAACATTGTAGAATTCGAAGTCCAACATCCTCTTTATCTTTTTCTTTATCAACACCAAGAACATAGCTGACGACAACCTGCAGTGATTGAACTTCATGGGATACATAAGAAAGAAACGTAAATGCATGTTTTAAAACAGGATCGCACTCTGCAGACATCTTGACGGCCAATAGAACAGCTGTGGACATGGTCAACGGATATGCTGGCTTATTTGCTTTGGTTAGTTTCATCTCAGTTAGTTCCCGCTTTCGAATTCCTTCATCTAGTTTTTTTAAATAATCTTTCCAAGTAAACTGTGAGGATACTTTGCTTTCCCGAACTTGTTTGACGTAAAATCCGGCGGAGGCCAAGGCAAGAGGTTGATGATCTAATTCCTTTGCTACTTTACTCACTAATTCGTGATTCTCAACAAGTCCTGATAGATCTGTAAGAAATTCACATGATTCTTCTGGATCCATACCTTGACTAATTGAAAAATGGACAGTCAAAAAACTGTTTGGTGGAACAGATGACATGTCTTGTGTGGTAATGAACACTTGACCACCTTGCCAGTCTTCATCTTCCAGTTGAGGGAGAAATGAAGATATTTCACTCAGCTTTACAACATTGTCAACTATCAACAACCAAGTGTATTTATTTTTGAAGTTTGCCAAAATTTTTGCAATGCTTACTTTAAGACTTTGTATTTTCATCACTGTTGTAGTTCTGTTGGAATTTACAATGTTCGCTATGTCTTTTTCAGTGCAATCCAGGCGACGTGCGAAATTTGCATACGATTCCAAGATATCACGCGTTGATCCTCCTCTTAAAGTCATAACAAAAGAGGTGTTGTCAGACCAACTTCCGGAGATGTTTGTGCCATAGCGTTGCCCTACTAACCTAGCAAGCTGAGACTTGCCACTTCCTGGATTTCCAGAAAGGTACAAATATGTCAACGAACGCTTATTTCTGATGGATAGATTGTGCAATTCTTCAAGAATCGCGTTGACAGTTTGACTTCGGTTTGCAACCAGATGAATTGGTCTTGTTGGGAGGACTCGGAAACGGAAAACTGATTTAGTTGCCATGGGGTGTGTAAACCAATAATAGGATGCGCTGGAAAGTAACCCAGCAATAAATACTAGGCAAAGATAAATCATTTTTCGAAAACTAGTTACGTATTTAGCTTTGAATGATTTTAAAATTTTCTCAACATCTGCTGCAGATAACTTAAGGACTTTGAAGCAGTTCTGTACTTTTTTATAAGCGTTCTCAAATTCAACAACAGAGATTTTGTGTTGAGATCCAATTGTATGTGTGAGTTCGTTTCGAAGTTTCCTCAATTCATCAACCTTGTTGGACACATGTGGACTCAAGTGCTTCTTAATCGCATTAGAATATAGAATTGCATCAAACAAAGCAGAGCAATCCCATTCACTTCTTTTTCCAGATTGAAAAAAAATTAAATAAGGTTTAGCATGCCGCCTTGTGCTTTCCATGTTATACAATTCATTACCAGACTTACGAGTGTCGTCCCATACGCCTTTTGTTGCACCGTAATTTTTGTCCCATTCCTGTTTGAATATCTCCCTGAGACCTTCACACACAGCAACATTCATAATTTCCAAAATGCAGTTGTACTTCTCTTTCTCGTTACCTGTCGGCGGCATGTTGGAAACAGAAATAAAATCATCGGAAACGTGCAAAAATCTAGATAAAAAATGCAAAGTAAGTTACGTTAAACCGTGTCCATGAATGCGGCTTAATAAAGGTAGCAATCATAGTGGCGTAAATGAATAGGCCAGAGAGGGGGCAAAAAAAAACGCCAAAAGTGAGTAAAAACTATAAGGTACTGTAGGTTAGTATACCGAAAATGTTTCCTAAATTTATAAAATGACCTATCTTCATGAAACAAGCTCGGAATGAATGCTTGATGGTCTGAGGTCGTTAAGGTCATGTGTTACACCTGCACCTTTTGAAATTGTTTAAGTAATTTGATATCTGGAATTCTTACCCTACTCTTTTTTATTCTTAAAACTGCTGCATGGCCCCCAAACCGCCCCGGTTTGTACGAAGGACAGATAACGTTATCCAGTGGGTAATAATTTTTTCGATCTTTCTAAAATTGCTTGAAAATTGTGCAACCACGGATATGGACCTCGCAATTAATAAAATGAAACTTTAATGCCCGAAGACGAGCGGACCAAAGCTGATAATTCCGCACGGCCATTTACGTCCGTGTACATAAAGGAAGCTAGCGGATTGAAAAGTTCATCAATAATTGCGGGAGGGTGGCTATGGTTAATGGGTGGACCTCCTACTGATCTAAAAATTCGACAAATTATTAAAATCGTTTGAGAAAACAGTTTAAAGAAAAGCCTACTATGTAAAACACTTTTACTTAAGAAATAGAAAACGAGTTGCGTATGGTGCACGCTGGGAATATTGGGAGAATACGAGAGAAGCTTGAAAAACACGAGACGTAGCCGAGTGTTTACACGCTTCTCGAGTATTCTCCCAACATTACCGAGTGCATTATCATATCATGATATAGGCCGTTTGCCGTGACTCGATATCGTTCACTTTCATTAAGCATGTCGTGGAACTGAAATATTTTCACGGTAACTAACATTTTAGAACACGCTGAATTTAAATTTCCGAAAAGTTGCTGCTCCGTAGACCCGCAGTTTTTTCACAAATTGCATTTGTATTTTCAGTTCTTCGACGAACAAAAATAAACACGCGCCATTGGAAATTAAATAACATCACTCAGAGTATGCCGTTTAACCCGTTTTTGCTCCCCAGTCTCCGATGCTCATGACCGAGTTAAGATTTAGAGCAATGTTCAGAGATTTGCTGCAAAACAAACACAGTCACGTGGTTTTAAAAATAGCTAGTCAGAGTGATTTTCAGTTTATTTGCAAGTAAAATCGCTAAAGAATGAGAAATAAAAGTTTAAATTATTTATTTGGCAGAGAAAAGCAATAAGGTAGGTGTTCTCTGTGTATATTTTTTGAGTTTGTTTAAGGCTAATGGCCTATAGAAGAACAAACACGTGATTAAGTGAACAACCAACACGATTTATTCAGGTTAGCTCTCAGACACATATAAGGCTAGTCTGCTTGAAAACTCACAGTAAAATTGTTCCATATCAAGTTTGCTGTTTGTGGGAATTATTGTTGGTCATAAGATGTAAAGTAATTTATAGAAACTGTTATTCAAATATTGATTTAATTACCACCCCATGAAAATGTCGGAAATGTTGAAGGCCAACAAAACCATGAACATTTGCATAGTATACATGATTATTTATATCTGCATAACCTGCTGCTGACTTATTTATTCCATGTTTTATTGCTTCTTCAAGATTTAGACTGTGCTAGAATATACTGTATACCCACAAGAATATGTAATAGGATATACAAATAAGATTCTGCATGAATACATTCGGTCTAAAGTTGTATTAAATATTTTTTATTCGTATGTGGCTTTCCCCATGCAGGGCAGAGTACACAAATCTGAGCGCGGCCTGTCATTGATGACATTTAGCTTAACTGCATAGTAGAGCACCAGGTTAGTGACCTGGGTGTTTAACCTATTGCATGAGAACCAGCACTTTTCCACTTGACGAGTAAAATTGTCTGGCATTAGACAGAGTGGACTAATAAAGTAGGGTGCATTGGGGAGCAATGCAACTACTTTAAAGGGTTAAGATCCAAGCACAGCTGCCTGGGACTCATGTATTTTTCCTTATTTCTAACAGGTTATAGAACAAAACAAACAGCTTGTTTACTGTCAAGCTGGAAAAAACCCAGCATTACAACATATAAGTATTACTTTGTCAAATTGGGCAACAAAACATTTATGCTGTTGAATATATTTCGAACTCACAGTTTTGCTTCCACCCATAGCTACAATCATGGCAAAAATTCTGTGGACACTTATAGGTGTGAACGATTAAAGTGTTACTGTTCACATACACATATTGGCATCTTCATCTCCCCCATCAGACACAGAGCTTTCGCCTAACCGATCTGGAAGCTTTTCAACAGTTAAAAATGCTGTTTTTGCACGTATGTTTGGGCAAGGCAGGTATTTGTGTTTTTGCGCACACTGTCCACAATAATTTTTCCAGGATTGTAGATATTCTAATTTAGAGCTGCTTATATGAATGGCTACTGTAGATCTCAAAACCAGGCTATCTCAAAACCAGGCAGTATATCTATTGAATTTGTAGTCGTGTTTGAAGCCGTTTAATAAATCGCAGGTTGTGTTTTATTAGGTCAAAAGCCACTCGCTCTGCGCGCTCGTGACTTTAAACCTAATAAAACACTCCTGCTCGTTTATTAAACAGTACTCAAAATACTCATTAATAATTCATGAAGAAATTTTAAAAGAAATGAATGTTTAATCAATGTTTGTAAATCGGATAAAGATTTGTCCTGATTTACATAAACTTCAGGTTTGTTTTTCTCGGCTTAGTTCGGCGAGAGTTTGTATATCAGATAAAGATCGCCTGCTCATGTTTTAACTAGTACTTATTAGTATTCTTTATATAAAGAATACTAACAAGACGCCTACTCAGGCGTTCACACTGACCTGAAAATGATGACATGCGCGCTATGGTGCAATCTCGTTGCCTGATCCTGCGGTCCTTGGAAAGGAAACGAAGGCTCTGGGATAATCCGTTTCAGGGAGGAAACTGATTGGCCGTTGATATGGAATGTGCAGTTCAATCTTAGACCGAATTCCTGGCTTTCGGCATCGGATTATCCCAGAGCCTTCGTTTCCTTCCCGAGGATCGCAGGCTCGGGGAACGAGATTGGCTATGGTGTAATAGACAAGGGAATGGGGAGCAAGGGAGTTCGTATAGAACAGTTTCAGCGGTAGATATGGTACATTTATCCAAAGAAAATACTAGCATTCAACTACATTCAGCTATCAGTACAAACATTTTTCCAAATTTACTAACATTCAGCTAACATTCAGCTAATATTACTAACATTTAGATAACAGTCTAACATTCCTCTATAACATTAAAAATTCAGCTGTGAAACGGAACCACACAAAAAGCTGTAACTGTGTAGATTAAAAATTCAGTTGTGAAACGGATGCACACAAAAAGCTTCTGTAGCTAACATTTCTCTAACATTAAAATTTCAGCCGTGAAACGGATGCACACAAAAAGCTGTAATTGTGTAGATTAAAAATTCAGTTGTGAAACGGATGCACACATAAAGCTTCTGTAGGCGTGTTAATATGTTATTTTTAATTATTTTTTATTATTTAATATATTCGCCCAAATCAGTTTATAAAATTAACAATTTAAATAGAAAATATTTACAATAGTAGGGCTAGGAACTTTCTAGAAACCATGGCATAAAGCTTTTGTTTAAGGTCCCTAGTTACAATTCAAATAATGATAATATTAAAAGTTAATACCAGTCCAATTGTTTTCAAAGGAATTACGGTGATATATTTACAATAAGGAAAGTGCGCAAAAGATATATCAGACTATAACAACTATTTGGCTTTTCACTTTGTGCCAAGAATTCTACTTATTTGAATTTAACAGAAGAAAATATATTTTCATTGTAGATTTAAATATTGGAAGAGATCTAATTTGCTTATATTGCGTCGGAAGATTATTCCATGCACACATTGATGCCGTTATTACCGACCGTGTGTTTTTTATAATTTGTTCTAGTTCAACTTTTGTGGAGCAATGATGCGTTTCTTGTGTTATAATTATGGATTTCTTTGTTAGTTAAAAAATATTTATCAAAAATTTCTGGAAGATTTTGTAGATGAAAATATCGGAACATAAATAGACTTGTTAAGAAATCATTCAA